GAAGGAAGGAAGGAAGGAAGGAAGGAAGGAAGGAAGGAAGGAAGGAAATTTCTGATGCTGTCTACCAGTTTCTCACCAGGAAACTCAATGGGGAAGCTGTCAGGAATTTGGAAATTGTTCCTGCTCTCACTGTGCCTTTGTTTTGTTTTCTTTGAACCTGTGGTCATTCTGTTTCTTCTTTTAGGTAAGGAAATATCTCTGAAACAATGACCCAATGGGGCACAGGTTGTCTAGTGCAAGGGTCACCAACCTTTTGGGCCTCAGGGACCACCAAACTCATAATTTTAGATCCCAGGGACCACTAACTGGTTTTGTGGGGGGTGGCCTAATTTGTGGGTGTGGCTTGGTGGTCATGTGACTAGCTGGGCATGGCTAGTATGTAAATACTATATATATATATATATATATATATATATATATATATATATATATATATATATATATATATATATATATAAATATTGAATTTTTTTATAAAAAAGAGCAACTTTTACCCAAAAGCAGGCAAAGCAGGCAGGCAGATTGAGTTGCTCACAGAATCGTTCATTGATCTATCAATCTGCCATCGGCTAGCTCAGTCTCTCAAATTTGCTTGCCCTGAGTCTGCACTGAATAATAGAACCTTCAGTCCTAAGGGAGGTTTGGCTGTGCTTAAAAGCAGAGCCAAAGTTCTAAGGACTAGCTAGAAAGCAAGAAATCCAACCATTTCCTGTTTCCTAGCTAATCTAAATCTCCTGGCACAGCAGAACAGATGATAGTCAGAAAAAGGAAAAATAGCAATTTAGCAGGCAAGTTTGCCGGGTAAGGAGTGAGTGGGAAGGTGGGGTTCCCATGGGCCATGTGGGTGGCCCAGCCTTGGGTTCCTGCACAGCCTGAATTAATTGCTTTAGACCGGGGTGCTCTGGGTGTGAGAATTCTCTGCGGCCCACCAAAATTTTCCCACAGCCCACCAGTTGGCAACCGCTGGTCTAGTGTCTATTAAATTCATGTCTTCAGCAGAAGAAATACATGATTATCTTTTATGAAGAATCTGTGATAAATTTATGGCTGCTTTTTCCAGAACACGGACAAAATTAATTCTAGAGCAGGAGTCCCCAACCCATGGTCCGTGGCCCAGTACTGGTCTGTGGTTCATTGGGAAACAGTCTGCACCTATGGCATGCAAGTGTGCGAATACACAAAATTCCATTTAGGCAAGCAGCATGCACATGAGTAAAATCACCCCCTCTTCCCCCTTCCCCCACCACTGATACCGCTGTTGGTCTACAGAATCAGAAAGGTTGGGGACCGCTGTTCTAGAGGGCAGCTTCTTGCTGGAAGCATACGTAACTATCTCAACAATAATTTTAAATGGGAATTAAAGAAGTGGTTGGCTGGACTTGGGAGTTTGTTCACCTCCCAAGACTTCAACCGCTAAAACCTAATTCCTAGTAAATAGGCCAACATTGCTCTGGGCTCCTGTACAGAACAAACTCAAAGGACATTACAAATAGTCCTCACTTAGATGAGTGGACTTATGTGAAATATGGACTACATGAGAAAGAAAAAACTGATTAGTAAACATTGTGATGGTTATATAATTGATGTCAATATGGAAGATAGTATACTTTTTAATAACAATTAATATTACCTTGTATATGTTTGTATGCACATGATTATAATGATTATGATGATGTTTATATTTTAACACTTTGGACACCTAGAAAACATGCTGTTCAATATAGAAATGGAATTTGTGATACAAAACAATAAAAATATTTATTAAAATAAACAAATAGTCCTCACTTAATGACTGGTTGCTTAGTGACCATTCTGAGTTATGAAGGACTTTTCCAGTGCTACTTATGATTTGATTTTGAGGTTTTGATGGCTGCCTGTGACACTCTATGGTCATATGATAACATTTTGGGTACTTGGCAACCAGCTTGTCTTTATGGCCGTTTGTTGCATTCCATTGTCACATGACTCCAGTTTTCAACTTTTTTGAGGGGGACAATTTCTAGTTTACTTCTGGTTTCCAGCAAAAAAATGGCCATTGAGGAAAAATGGCTTTATTTAATGACTACAGTGTTGACTTAACAAGCATGGCATTTGCTTAATGACCACTGCAAAAAAGATTGTAAAATCGGACACAGTCAAGTGGTGACTGCTTAATGACTCACAACCATAATTCTGGGCTCAATTAAGGTCCTAAGTTGAGGACTATCTACTGCTAAATCATATGCTTAGGGTTTTCTGGAAAAAGACAATAATTATCATGCCCTCCAGCATGACAGCATGCAAACAAGCTCTATATAAGCTCTATAAATAAGATAGGCATGTGAAAAGAACATCTACAATTAACAGTTTCTTGGATACATTACTAAGATGGGTCTCTCTATTAATGAATTAATAAAATGACTTACATTCACACATTGCAATAAGTGAAACAGCATTTGACAAGGGGGGAAATGACTGCATTACACCTTGTGGCACCAATAAATATGCCAACAGTGTATGAGTATGATTAGTTTCTACTGATTTCTTATCCACAAGGGTGTAAGTATGCGTGTGTGTGTGTGCGCGCACGCAGGGGTGTGTGCATATGTGTGCATGCATGCTCGTGTGTGTGTATTCCCCCTGAGAGAACAGTTAGCAAAGCATAATGTATCCATAAGTGTTTTTCTCTTCCAACTGGGACCCTTCAATTATATCACATGGTGAGTGCATCAATGCAGCTGTGATAACATTTTACAGACAAGCAAGGAGAGACGCCCAATAAGAGAAAGGAATAGCTAGGTCATGGTAGGTATTGGTAGAAGATCTTCTTCAAAAGAGAAGAGATTTGGAACATGAGAGATGATATCCCCTTCAACCCCGCCAAAAAATAATGACTATATTATAGTTCAAAAATGACTACAGTTAAACTATAGTTCAAAAATGTTTGCTTTGTGGCCAGACATATATATGTTAAATATTATATCTGAATGTTTAAATGCTGTCAAATGTAGCATTTTGGCAAGTCTTTTCCAGCTCTCGTCCAGCAAACCTTGGAGTTTTTGGAAGTGTATTAAAGAACTCATAGTAAAAAAAAAAAAAAAGTGAACATGGGTAAATAAACTTCTATAACAAATTTGGCCTTTTTTGAATTTTGGCAGCATGGAAGGAAACTAGCATACAATAAATAAATAAATAAAAAACCAGTATCCTATGGCCCACAGTGGGAAATGACGACACTAAACATGATTTTGATGAAAAGTTAACCGTCATTTATTTTTTAACCCATCAAAGCTATCTTTAATGCCTGAATAATGTACATAATCTTTGCAAGTGATTTTTATTTTTGTATGCCAAGAAAAAGTTCAGCAGATGTATTTAGTCTACCAAAAAATGTGTATGCATTCATTTCTACTTCTATACTGCCAATTTTTTTGTATCTAGCCAGTTTACAATTAGTAAAGCTAAAAACAGTTAAAATGGAAACAAATAAAAACAAACAAAAACAGTTTAAACCTTGAAAATATTAAAAGGAGTTATCTATCAATTTGTGAAACCAACTGAATAAAATGGGCCATTCCATTGTATGCCATTGTCAGAGGAATTACAGAACTGGTAACAGAACTCCTCTGGCTTGTTGCATGGTCCCTTCATATATGGAAGATTATATATACAGACTATGCCTTTTTAGTGTGGCAAAAGTTGCCATAAGTAAGGTATTAAAGAAAATAAAGGGTCCTTTTACCTAGATCATTTCAAAAGAGCCATTGAATATTCATTTAGGGAAGGTAGAAGAAATCTTCATATTATAACCTGTCACATGGCAAAGCTGAAAAAAAAACCAATTTTTGCAACGCTTTTTTAAAAAAAGAAAATGAAAATGTATGTATTCAGGAAAATGTGCAAAGCAATGCTTATTTTGATGAAAATAATATATGAAATGTCTTGTATCAGAGAAACTGCTTCTCAAAATATGCATAAGGAAATGTGCAAATGAAAATGCAGGTGTACAAAATTATGCATGAAACCTTTTTTAAGTGACAGAAGTTGAGTAAAGAACAGAATAACCTTAAAGTTGGAAAATTTGAAAAACCAAAAAAAAAGAAAAGAAAAAGAACATGTGCAGATTTGTATATTCGTAGCAAAACATTTATGAACAAAATCTTCCTTCATCATAAATTGGAGGAATCATGTCTGTAATTTCTTTAAAATGTTTCTTTGTTAAGGGGACACAAGAGGATGGAGTAATGATGAAATGACGTGATACAAGTAAGAAAAGCAGAACAGATCTGGGAAGAAGAAGGATTTATGCAGTTTAAGGCAAGCTAAAGCTATAGGACGACTTAGCATTCTTTACCTCTTAGTTTTGCTGTCTGATTTCACAAGGAATCAGAGAGTGTGAGGTCATTTGCTTCTAGCAAATTTGAGGGGCTTTGGTGGATTCACATATGGGTCCAGAGCAGGGGTGGGCTTCAAAAATTTTAGCAAAGGGGTCTCTGCCCGGTTGTTGGTTGGGCGTGGCCATGGTGGGCATAGTCTAGTTGGCCTCCTGCACTATGGCTCCTGCACCATGGTGGCCATGGTGGGCATAGTCTAGTTGGCCTCCCGCACTATGGCTCCTGCACCATGGTAGCCCTCTCTGGACTCCGGAAGATTTCGTCAAACCTCCAGGAGGATGAAAATGGCCTCCCTGGGCTCCAGAGACCCCCTGGAAGCCAGAACTTCCGAGAGGACAATTTTTCTCCCTCCCCGAGCATCCATGCGTGCCCTGCACTTACTTGCATCCAAAACAGGCCGCGTGGGGACTCCTGGGAGGGGCAGGCCAGCCAGAAGTGGGATTTTGGGGTTCTTTGAACTGCACATAATCTTAGCTCTCCCGAACCCCTGCAAACCCCCAGCAGCCCACCCCTGGTCCGAGGGACACACAAAGCAAGAAACGGCTAAATTAATATATCACCAATTTCAGTGTTAATTTCATTTCTTTCTTGCTAACCCACTTGAGAAAGTGAGGAAAGGAAACTGGAAACTGTAGCTAGTTACTTAGGAAGGATCTTTCCAATTCACAATAACCTCTCCCTGAGCCCAGGTTATATTTTGTAGGAAATAAGAGCAAGTTGATATGACAGCTGTTTCCATCAGGTATATTTCAGCTGTGGGGTCAGATTATTTGTCTTTTTTTCTTCTTCCCTGGAAGCATCACGGCGGAGTTGATTATGGCATCGAAGGGGACAGTATATGTTCTGCAGAGCATATCACTGTTACAAATATCACAAGCAAAACAGCAAACAGATGTCATCCAAGGGAGTTCATAAATTTTGGATGGTGAGCCATGAGCCATGCAGGGAAAGAAAGACTTGGCAGTTGCCTTATGGAGCTACTCATTGGTGCTAATTGACTTGCTAAGAAACACAATAGCATTACTGACAGTGGGGCACAGCACAGTTCTTAATGCTATCGTTAGTTTCCTAGCAGGGACCTTGAGCTTTTTTTAAAACAAAAACCCTTGCTCAAGAAATATGGGCAGGCAGTATAATTCAGACCTGCTTTTCTTGCCCGCCTCTTCTTATTTGCTGAGAGTATTTATTTTATAAACATGAATAGTCTAATTTTTCCACATAAACCCTGAGAATACTATGATCTTCCAGGCTGCTTTTGATGGTCAGCTTGAAAACAAGAAACATCAGGACATATGGATGAAATATACGATACAGACTTGTATTAAGCTGCTTCTGCCTTTGAAAGGGATTGGGTGCAGGCAGGATAAACTTTATTTCAAATGTATTGCTCTATGATACAACCTGTATCCAAAACATATCTTAAAATTAACCCACTTAGA